ACCACAGGCATTAAGGCAGATTGAAATGTGCTTAGTTATTTAAGAGCACATTCAAATCCAGTGGCGAACCGTCAGGGACTTCAAGGTATTCAGAGAACACCCTGGAACTCAGATAAAACAAACAAAATCGATTTAATTATATAAATAAAATGTAATAAAATGAATAAATGAGGTATCTGTGTTGTTGATCTGTAATATTACAGTGTTACGTTGATTTGTTTGTCCTTCTCGGACCATGCTCTACGCATTTCAGTGGGTTTGTGTTAGAAAAGAAAGCAACCAATCAGATCTTGTTCTGGGTCTCTGGGTAGAATATCCTTCACCAAGGTATTCTACATCCTTGATAGAAGGCCCTGGCCGTTGCACTGAATGAGAGCGTACGTTTGGACTGACAGTTTGATCAACCAATCAGATATTGATTTGTAGCCAATGGGCGTGTTCTTTCAGAGTTCCCCTCGGTTCCAGGGTATTCTAGAAGGCCCGCTAGTTCACTGGAGAGAGACAGAGGATCTAGATCAGTAGTCACCAACCTTTTTAAGCCCAAGATCACCGACCTCGGCCTAGGTGAAAGGCGAGATCTACCTATTGCAGAATTGAGTGATAAAGACGGCCCAGACAGTGCTTCCAATTTGAGGCCTTTTATAGGCTGATTGCATCTGAATGAATGTGAAGGCTCCATCGTCAGCTCGCGGCATATAGGCAGGGGTAAAGTGCTATTTTGTATGAGTGGGGGGCGGACCTTACCTCCTCTAGGGGGGTCCTCTCCTCCTCTAGGTCCTCACCTCCTCTAAGGGGGTCCGGGGGGATGCTCCCCGGGAAGATTTGTTTTTAAAGCATCAATCTGGTGCACTTTGAGAGCAACATGAGAGATCTATGGATACCTCTCTCAACACCCAGATGAAACGGAACTGTAAACAGATTTTCTTTTTCTTTATGGATATTTTACAAATCACTCTCCTTTCAAACTGTATTCTTGTTTTACTGCCATATAGTATTTCATACCTGTTTTTCATGTATTCTCTTATTGTTTGTATAACTATAATGATCATATGAAGGTGTGCCTCGGAAATAATCTTTTGAATAATTTGTGTCCGTTAGTGCAGCTAGCTAACCAGATGCTAACATCACGGTCCCCGCTAGCACCGCTCTCTCTCTCTCTCTCTCTAGCTCAGCGAGAGAGGAGAGTAGAGAGAGAATCTCTCTCTCTCTTCTCTGGTCTCTATGCTCTCATCTCTGCTCGGATCATATCTCTCTCTCTCTCTATACTCTCTTCTCTCTCCTCCTCTCTGCCATCTCATCTACTCTCTCTCTCTCTCCTCTCATGCCTCTCTCCTCACAAATGCGCTATTGCCACACACACACAGAGCCGAGTTTGAATGACACAAGCACAGGTGTATTTCCATGCAACTTTCTGATTGGTCTGGTGACTTGCCTCTGTTGCATTCACTGAACACGGGAAATTACAGTCCTGCCGTCCTCTCTTGTGTCAGGATGAGGTTCACGTAAAGCACGGTTAATGTTTATATTATTGAGGTGTCTCAATGTGTGTGTCTACAGAAGGTCCAGTTGTGATAGACACGGTTCGCCACTGTTTAAATCACATTTCAACACACTATAATATGACTTTTTGGAAATACGTCACTATGACAGCTGTGTTTGTGTGGTACACATTTGACATTAGTTCAACAACACAAGGGAATCACACAGTAAATATCCTTCTTGTGGCCCCAGTGACTGCCTGTGACCTGTAGGGGGCGCTGCACACTCATTATCTCATGCTTTAAACACTATCGAAAGGGATGTGTAGAAAGACTTTTCAATGGAGATTCACTGAACACATAGTTGCATGTTCACACTGTATTCTCTTTTTTGTACAGATGTTATTCTTTGAAATGTTTTCTTTATTTGCTGTTCTTCTTTTACCATTGAAATGTCTCTGCTGAGTGCCGGCTAAAGCATGCATGGTGCATTATCTTTAAATACATGTTTAAAGCGCAGGATAAATGTTTAGTGTTAGTTTGTGATGTACGGAGACATGACATGCTCCTCCCGGATACAGCGTGTGATTGGCTGTCAGCAGGTGATTAGCCAATAGCAGAGCTCCTCCTGCAGCCTGCATTATTATCTTCTGCAGACAGAAAATAAAACACACACACACTCACTCTCACACACACACACTCTCACACACACACACACACACACACACTCCACACACTCACACACACACACACTCTCACACACTCACTCTCACACACACCACACACACACACACACCTTCTTTAAAGTGTATTTTTTTGTTTACATGCACCAGATCTGATACAGCAAGAAGGAGGAGGAGGAGGAGGAGGAGGAGGAGGAGGAGGAGGAGGAGGAGGAGGAGGAGGAGGAGGAGGAGAGGAGGAGGAGGAGGAGGAGGAGGAGGAGGAGGAGGAGGAGGAGGAGGAGAGTCTGATTAGCAGCGAGTCGCTCAGGAATCATTCAGTAAAGGGATAAACCTTCAGCATGAGAGCATGAGACTAGAAAGTCAGGTGACTGAATGTATTTGAGGAAAATCCCTAAAGAAATAAGTGATGAAGATTAAATGTTTCTGTCATCAAAGGAAGAATCCTCCCGAGGTGATGACTTGTTTCCTCACTCTGTGTTTCCTTCAGACTGAACAATCCAGAGTTCCTTCTCTCTACACTAGCTACTATATACTATACCTACTAACTGCACAGCATAACCTGAAACAATCCCTTCAGCTTGTTACGCATTTATTACAATACACTAGGGCTCATCACAAGCTGCATGTCTGCTCACTAGGGCTCATCACAAGCTGCATGTGTGCTCACTAGGGCTCATCACAAGCTGCATGTCTGCTCACTAGGGCTCATCACAAGCTGCATATGTGCTCACTAGGGCTCATCACAAGCTGCATGTCTGCTCACTAGGGCTCATCACAAGCTGCATGTGTGCTCACTAGGGCTCATCACAAGCTGCATGTGTGCTCACTAGGGCTTATCACAAGCTGCATGTGTGCTCACTAGGGCTTATCACAAGCTGCATGTCTGCTCACTAGGGCTCATCACAAGCTGCATGTGTGCTCACTAGGGCTTATCACAAGCTGCATGTCTGCTCACTAGGGCTCATCACAAGCTGCATGTCTGCTCACTAGGGCTCATCACAAGCTGCATTCCAATGAAGGACACTTGGCTGCAAGTGGAAGCTGACAGATGGTCCGTTAGATCTGGGGACAGAGAGGATCCTTGCATCGTTTGATTGGAGAAGAGATTATTACTACGTCAGCTGACAGCAGACCTGCATGAGACTGGGATTGAAGAAGTAAATGAGTTACTCTGCAGGTTTAGGGACAACATTCAGAAACACTGTTCTTCGTCTCGTGATGCTCCGGACGAGAGAACAACAACGTGTTCTGCATTCAAGGAAACACCCGAGAGTTCACTCATCAGGATTCAACACCTCCGTTTCCATGGAGACCAGATTGAGCCGTTGGAAATGTGGGAGTACGATCATGTGGTAAACAAACAAGACTCAGCGAGGATGGACAGTAACAGCTGATTCATGTCAACACAATCCTCCTAAACGCAGACACATTTTGGCGATATTTAAAATACTGTGGGTGTTTTCTTTTATTTCTCAAATGGCACGTGAGCTCCTCACCCAGCACCTGGTGGAGGACTGAAAGCTACATCACATCACGAGTCACGCTTTGATCCAAAGTGACTCACATACTCAGTACTGAGGACAATCCGGAGCACTTGGGGTGAAGAGTCTCAGGGACACAACGACATGCTGACTGCAGAGGGGTTTGAACCTGCTATCCTCTGAAGATCAGCGCACTAACCAGCACACTACCCACTGAGCCACAGCCTCCATCTATTGTCTGTTAAAGCACCGAGGAAAGACTCAGGAGGAAATATAAAGAGACTGAATTCATGCCTTCTTTCAGAGCAGTGGGAATAACTCACATCCAGGAGCTGATGTCACTAACTGTGTGTTCGTGTAGCGTGACATAACGCCTCATTAGCACATGTCAACATCCTCCCTCAGACATCTTGTAATGTGAAAGATCATGGTGTTAATGTCAGTAATGAGGAGGGGAAGTTTCAAGTTGCTCAAGATGTTTCGGAGTGTGTTTTGATCTGTGTTTTTATATCTGCACTGGAACAAAAACTGCTCCAACAACAATGAAATCAAGCTGTTTCCACTTGAAGTCAGTCCAAAGATCTGCCAATAGAACAAGTGAACATCAGCTTGGTGAGATCTCTAGAAGTAAGAAGGGATGTTTAGATAAATCACATCTTGTAATCAGCAGGAGAACTCATTCTGAACTATTTCACCATCCATCTTCTCCCGTTTATCCGTGGTCGGGTCTCGGAGGTATCAGTTCCAGCAGAGAGCCCCAAACGTTCCTTTCCCCTCATCAACCAGCTCTGACTGGGGGATCCCAAGGCGCTCCCAGGCCAGCGAAGAGATATAATCCCTCCACCTGGTCCTAGGTCTACCCCTTGGTCTCCTCCCAGCTGGACGTGCCTGGAACACCTCCATAGGGAGGCACCCAGGTGGCATCCTAACTAGGTGCCCGAACCACCTCAACTGGCTCCTTTCGACGCGAAGGAGGAGCGGCTCAACTCCGAGTCCCTCCCTGATGACCGAACTTCTCACCTTATCCCTAAGGGAGACACCAGCCACCCTGCGGAGAAAACCCATCTCGACCGCTTGTATATAACTATGTCACCAGAATCAGGAGATGCTGTGTTTCAGAATAATCCTCAAAGGTTTCTGTGTTCTGATGTTAGCTGGTGATTTCCTAATAAAGATGTAAATTAAAGTGTTTCATCTGAGATACGACTCAAAGTGAGATGTTTTGACTGAACAAGATGATGTGTCGTGACTCGTGGCCCATTCTTGTGGGATATCTAAAGCTGTGCCACGTCAACAGGGATCCGCTTCTTGACTCACACGTTAAAAACCATCCAAATAAAGCTCTGTAGGCGCTGATTTATTTGCCTTCCTCGGCCGATTTATTTACTTCCATATATTTAAATAAACAAAACGATCAGTGTAACGTGAGGTCAAAGACTGTTCCGATTCCCCGTTCATTGCTGGAGACAATTTCCTCCTCACGCTCAGTCCCACCCCTTCCTTATATCACAGCTGTGGCTCGCAGTAAATCAAGGTTTTTCTCCGAATATTTAATTCGGTACTAATACATAAATGGAAAGAATATATTCAGATCTAAATTAATAAGAAAATAATACACTCATTGTCAACACAGAAAATGGCTCTAACATTATGCATTGTCTAAATCAAGAGCCTCTGTCTCACTGCAGTGTTGCTCCTGGAGTTACCTTCCATCAGGAGAGACACGTTCTGACTGGATACCAGACACAGGTACTGGGCAGGATCCAGAGCTTTTGTAGAGTGCATCGTTCCCGAAGAGTTTATAGAGCGATTGCACCTGTAATATATTCACCTGTAGTTTCTCCTCTTAACACAAATCTAACTTTTAATGTAACAGCTGAATCCTGTTTCTATATATCCTTATTTTGGTGATGAAATATTGCAGGAAGTGGAAGAGGAGGGGACGATGGTGAAGAGGATCTGCAGCAGAAACACCATTATTATTATTATTATCAGTGAAGGAACAGCATTCACAGTGATGTCCCTCAGACCTCAGGGAGAGGGACACACACAGAGAGACACACACATTTAAACACGTTAACTCTACACACTGACATTTAGTGACTCGTTGCATCAATGGGGGGAAAGAACAAGCTTCTAATGAACACTTTCATTCCGTTAATTGAATCAAAAACGCTCGTCAAGTATCGTCCACTAATACAGTTCTCTGTAAACCGACGGCTGGTTTGGCAAAATGTTTTTTAAGGAATAAAAGAGTGACGAGAGTTTTCCCTGAGACTCGACTTGATGCTTTTAACAAACAGTCTGTTTCTGAAGCGTCCGTCAAGATATCTGTCCTTAAATACTGAACGAACTGGATGCGTCACGTTGAGAATAACAGAAATACGACTTGATTACACTGTTCCTCCCCTCAGGACGACACAGAGCTGTAAGAGGTGTCGTTTTCCCGTGTTGGACCCTGAAGGCAGCATCTCCCTCGTTGCCTTTCACTAAAAACTATGGGGTTTTTCCATTGGATTTGAAACGTGAGCGGATTTAGCAACTAGCAACTAACCAGTGGATCAATTAGAGGTAAGATAAGATTGACTTTATTGTATTTCACCGGGGAACTTTTTATACCTCTGTTATTTGACTGAATCCACAGAACTGTACATCTGTAGGGTTCGGGTGTATCTACTTTAAAGGTCACCTATTATGCAAAACCCTCTTCTTCATGTCTCTTCTACATCAACATGTGTCCCCTCTTCTTCATGTCTCTTCTACATCAACATGTGTCCCCTCTTCTTCATGTCTCTTCTACATCAACATGTGTCCCCTCTTCTTCATGTCTCTTCTACGTCAACATGTGTCCCCTCTTCTTCATGTCTCTTCTACATCAACATGTGTCCTCTCTTCTTCATGTCTCTTCTACATCAACATGTGTCCTCTCTTCTTCATGTCTCTTCTACGTCAACATGTGTCCCCTCTTCTTCATGTCTCTTCTACATCAACATGTGTCCCCTCTTCTTCATGTCTCTTCTACATCAACATGTGTCCCCTTCTTCTTCATGTCTCTTCTACGTCAACATGTGTCCCTCTTCTTCAAGTCTCTTCTACATCAACATGTGTCCCCTCTTCTTCATGTCTCTTCTACATCAACATGTGTCCCCTCTTCTTCATGTCTCTTCTACATCAACATGTGTCCCCCTCTTCTTCATGTCTCTTCTACATCAACATGTGTCCCCTCTTCTTCATGTCTCTTCTACATCAACATGTGTCCCCTCTTCTTCATGTCTCTTCTACATCAACATGTGTCCCCTCTTCTTCATGTCTCTTCTACATCAACATGTGTCCCCTCTTCTTCATGTCTCTTCTACATCAACATGTGTCCTCTCTTCTTCATGTCTCTTCTACGTCAACATGTGTCCCCTCTTCTTCATATCTCTTCTACGTCAACATGTGTCCCCTCTTCTTCATGTCTCTTCTACATCAACATGTGTCCCCTCTTCTTCATGTCTCTTCTACATCAACATGTGTCCCCTCTTCTTCATGTCTCTTCTACGTCAACATGTGTCCCCTCTTCTTCATGTCTCTTCTACATCAACATGTGTCCCCTCTTCTTCATGTCTCTTCTACATCAACATGTGTCCCCTCTTCTTCAGTCTCTTCTACATCAACATGTGTCCCCTCTTCTTCATGTCTCTTCTACGTCAACATGTGACCCCTCTTCTCCACGTCTCTTCTACATCAACATGTGTCCCCTCTTCTTCAAGTCTCTTCTACATCAACATGTGTCCCCTCTTCTTCATGTCTCTTCTACATCAACATGTGTCCCCTCTTCTTCATGTCTCTTCTACATCAACATGTGTCCCCTCTTCTTCATGTCTCTTCCACATCAACATGTGTCCCCTCTTCTTCATGTCTCTTCTACATCAACATGTGTCCCCTCTTCTTCATGTCTCTTCTACATCAACATGTGTCCCCTCTTCTTCATGTCTCTTCTACATCAACATGTGTCCCCTCTTCTTCATGTCTCTTCTACATCAACATGTGTCCCCTCTTCTTCATGTCTCTTCTACATCAACATGTGTCCCCTCTTCTTCAAGTCTCTTCTACATCAACATGTGTCCCCTCTTCTTCATGTCTCTTCTACATCAACATGTGTCTCCTCTTCTTCATGTCTCTTCTACGTCAACATGTGTCCCCTCTTCTTCATGTCTCTTCTACGTCAACATGTGTCCCCTCAACATGTGTCCCCTCTTCTCCATGTCTCTTCTACATCAACATGTGTCCCCTCTTCTTCATGTCTCTTCTACGTCAACATGTGTCCCCTCTTCTCTCATGTCTCTTCTACGTCAACATGTGTCCCCTCTTCTTCATGTCTCTTCTACAGTCAACATGTGTCCCCTCTTCTTCAATGTCTCTTCTACATCAACATGTGTCCCCTCTTCTTCCAGTCTCTTCTACATCAACATGTGTCCCCTCTTCTCCATGTCTCTTCTACATCAACATGTGTCCCCTCTTCTTCATGTCTCTTCTACATCAACATGTGTCCCCTCTTCTTCATGTCTCTTCTACATCTAACATGTGTCCCCTCTTCTTCATGTCTCTTCTACATCAACATGTGTCCCCTCTTCTTCATGTCTCTTCTACAATCAACATGTGTCCCCTCTTCTTCATGTCTCTTCTTACATCAACATGTGTCCCCTCTTCTTCATGTCTCCTCTACATCAACATGTGTCCCCTCTTCTTCATGTCTCTTCTACATCAACATGTGTCCCCTCTTCTTCAATGTCTCTTCTACATCAACATGTGTCCCCTCTTCTTCATGTCTCTTCTACATCAACATGTGTCCCCTCTTCTTCATGTCTCTTCTACATCAACATGTGTCCCCTCTTCTTCATGTCTCTTCTTACATCACATGTGTCCCCTCTTCTTCATGTCTCTTCTACATCAACATGTGTCCCCTCTTCTTCATGTCTCTTCTACATCAACATGTGTCCCCTCTTCTTCATGTCTCTTCTACATCAACATGTGTCCCTCTTCTTCATGTCTCTTCTACATCAACATGTGTCCCCCTCGTCTTCATGTCTCTTCTACATCAACATGTGTCCCCTCTTCTTCATGTCTCTTCTACATCAACATGTGTCCCCTCTTCTTCATGTACTCTTTACTACATCAACATGTGTCCCCTCTTCTTCATGTCTCTTCTACATCAACATGTGTCCCCTCTTCTTCATGTCTCTTCTACATCAACATGTGTCCCCTCTTCTTCATGACTCTTCTACATCAACATGTGTCCCCTCTGTGGAAAGAGACTCTGAAAGTCTCAGGAACAAAGTTTCTCTCTCTTTTTGATCCATTTCTATAAAAACCTGTCTGAAAATGAGCTGATCAGATTTTGGTCACTTTATGATGTCATAACGATGTGTTGTCTTGTGTAACCATTAGCCAATCAGCAACCAAGGTAACCCCCCCCCCCCCCCTTATCACCTGAATCTCCTCCTAGAGCTCCATTGAGTTCTTTGTAACCAAATGTCTCTCAGAGGGGCGTGGGGAGGGGCTCCTTGTTTTCATCTAAAGTAACAGACAGAGAATCAGCACTTTGGAAACAGGGCTGAAACAGAGGGGATTATGGGTAATGCTGCAATAATCTGTTTGGTGTTTCAGCCAATCAGAGACAGGCTCTGGATCTATCTGAGACCTGTGAGATACTGATGATAAACAGGATAATAGGTGAACTTTAAATCTTGCGTTTACCAGGTTTTTTGGGAAGTTTTATGGAGAGTTTTTTGGTCCCTCAGAACACTAACTAACGGCGGCGAGGCGCGAGTCGAAGCTGAGGTCCAGACAGTCTGCATCCATCAGCTCGTTGCGGATAATAGCGTCCAAATCGCACTTCAACCCTCCGTTAAACACGTCCAGATCCAGGTCTGAGGTCAGCTTAACGGGAGGCTTCGGGACCGGTTTGGCGTCGTTTTCCTCGGGGTCTTTTTTGTGCAGAATCGTGGCGTTTCGGCGTGAATTCTGCAGCGCGATGGCAGCGGCTCCGACCTGAGACATCAGAGGGTCGGACTGAGTCAGGAGGTCGTGGCTCTGAAGGTCCTGAAACAAAAACAAGAAAGTGTCAATAAATCACTCCATTTCCCCCTTCACACTATCTCTTATGAAAAGGCATTCACTACCAGGGTATAAAGAGCCTGAGCGTTGCAGACCGAAGAGAACCAGGTCTGTTTGTTCTCCTGGATCGTCTGCATGGGGGCCGTCCTCAGGGCGATGCACGGAGGCGTGAAGAGGCCGAGGGCGGAGGGACTACTTTCTGCGCCGCTGAAGCTGAAAACTGAGCACGAATCGCCCTCTTCTTGCTCGTTTGGCTGCCGCGCCGCCACGTTGTCCAGCAGGTTTTCTGACACCATGTCGTTCAGGTTAAGTTCTGAGAGGGTGGAGGGAGAGATGCTGCTGGAGGAGGAGGAGAACAACATGGGGGACAGAGGAGAGTTCGTACCCTCCTCCAAACCCTCGTCTAGCTCCAGGTTGGCGAGAATTGGCGACAAACGTCCGCTGAGCGTTGAGGCGTTTGAGTTTGTTCGAGAGCGGAAATCGGTCCAAGCGTCGAGTTCTTCGCTGCTTCGGGAGGCGGGACTTCCTGTCCACTTCGAGAGGAAGTTACTCTCGGATCCAACTTCCTGCAGAGACACCTGAAGGCACACAATGTACACAAGATCTGTCAAAGTCAATTCACTTTATTGCCAATCTTTCAGTTTGTGTGTATTTCTTTTTTTTACCTAACTTAACTTTTTAATGTTATTTTATTTCTATTTCAGAAATATTTTGGATAATTTCTTTCTGGTGTTTCTCTTGGATTATTGGATTGGATTATTTCTTTCTTACCTACCTACAGACAGAGAGATCGAAATACCGTTTCCCACAATCCCGAATTATCACCGAATTTTATTCTACAGACATTTTCCTTCCATCATTATGGTTTGAATGTTTATCTTATTAATATAAGGATTACACCTGCGCTGTCGGGTATGACGTGCATGTCTTTATAAGAGAGAGAGACAAGAAGTACTTTATTGATCCAGATGTGGGACATGTTTGTGTTGCAGCAGCATCAAAAGACAAGGCATTGCACAATAACAATTAAAAGACAAAAAAGGAGAAAATGTACATGTTAACAACAACAAGATGTGTCTTTATCATAGACTGGTCTTCATGCCTAAATATGGCAGGACAATGGGACACAGCTGATTGTGATTAGACGGGAGGCGGTATAGTCTTTTCACCGTGTTCTTTTTGTTCTATTTTGATACGGAGAACTCTTAGTTTCTTTCAAGCGAGGAAGTTTGTCTTCATGTTTGAATGCCGCCTGGATTTAATTAATAAATTTGATTTGATACAAAACCTCTACATCTTGCCCAGTAGTGTTTAATATCTCGTCACATATGTCTCTACGCCAGAGGCCTGTACTACGAAGCAGGATGTTCGCTTAGCGAGCTAACTTCAGGGAGAACTCTGGGTTTCCGGTTCTACCACGCTGGTTCTCTTCTTAGCGGGCTAGATCTCCATGGTAACTGATGCTGATGCTAGCCCAGGGGCGCGGGAAGGGGGGGGGGCTGAGGGCGCTGCAGCACCCCCTAGCGGCAGGCAGGCGGTGCTCCCCTGTCTGCACATTTATTTTACTTTTATTTTATATATATTTATTTCATTTCATTGTGCCTGAGATTATATTTAATATTATATATTATTATTTAAATGATCATTTTAAACTATATAATACATTATTTTGCTTCAGGGAAGACAAATAAAAAAGATGTGGAGAAAAAAAGTAGTTTTTTTCAGCAATAAGCCTTCCCAAATATTTGTGTCACTGCGTCCTGGTCAAATCAAATATAATGTATAATGTCTGTGTCTTTGACATTAGCGCTGCAGCCACCTGTGCCCTGTGCCACGAAGCCAGTTCAACAGACAACAATATGCTTGAGTTATCTTAACTATCCCTAACAAACGAGATCTCGCTAAGCGGTCCTACGACGCTGGTTATCAACTCGTGAATCAAGCCAGGGTTTCTCTCTCCAGCTGAGAGCGCGTTCACGTGAAAGGGGCGGGGTTAGCTACATTTGACCAATCACAAACAGGGACAAGTGTACTGACAGCGCAACATCATACTTCATTAATGAAAAGTAAACTAATATTAGACAAATATGAGCTTTAAACATCCATGATGACTTAAACATATAATCCAGGATCAAAGCCACATAGCTGCTGCAAGGAGAATACAGAACAACTCGTTAAAAAATAAATAAACTACAGAGTGTTTGAAAGCGTACAACAGTTTATGATATCACTGCCCCGTCTAAGACACTTGCTTAAAATAATACTTCTGCATAATGTGAGTGTTGCACGGCCAGATACGGCTCAGCTGACTCAGATAAGGAAATATTGTGATATTATATGATCGATGATCTGATTGATGATGTGATATCATATGAATGATAAGTGCGACACGTCGGCGTCTTCTCTGCATTTCCCTTCTCCTGTAATATGACTTGATAGATTTCAACTCCGCACACTGAGCTCTGATTGGTCAGGATGCGGTGCTTCCCAAACCTGAGCCTCACGCGCCGCCTATGATTGCTGCTGCAGCCGTGCATAATCTGTGTAATATGGAGCCAATAAATTCCACATTGTTGGTAAAATAATATTTTACAGCTTTGTAGTGTGCGTGCTCTATAGTGCCCGTAATAGCGTTCACTGGAGTCCATTGTTATGCCACTGTGTGTGTTTTTTCTTCCAGCACCTCAGCACCTCAGCACCTCAGCACCCCCACTCAAAATACCTTCCCGCGCCTCTGTTCATATCATATCACTTCATAATGTATCATATATCTCCTGATCTGAGTCAGCTGAGCCGTATCTGGCCGTGTAACACTCACAGCGTCACAGACTGGATGCAGAAGCATTATTTGAAGCAACACATTAAGTTGAGGAAACACTGGAGTCAAATGTAATGAAAGTCAGATGGTGTCTTAGACGGGCAGTGATATCATAAAGCTGTTAATGTACGCATTCAAACACTTGTTCTGTTCCCAGCTGTGTTCACTTTGCAGGTGCAGCTCTGTGGCTTTGATCCTGGATCAAGTGTTTAAGTCATGGATGTTTAAACTTTAACTTCTTCATATGTCTAATATTATAGTTCACTTTTCATTCAGGAAGCATGACGCTGCGCTGTCAGTACGCTTCTCCATGTTTGTGATTGGTCGAATGTTGCTAGCCCCGCCCCTTTCATGTGAACGCGCTCTCAGCCGGACAGAGACACCCTGGCTTGAGTTACTGAGTTGATAACCAGCGTCCTCGGACCACTTAGCGAGAGCGCGTTTGTTTTGGGTTAGGTAAACCAGGTAGCTCAAACATATCCAGGTTAGGCTGAACTGGATTCGTCGTACAGGCCTCTGATATAAGACATAATAACTTCAGAAGTAACACTGCAGTGAGATATAGGGTCTTGTTTTTAGAGTCAAAACATCTTATTTTGAGTTGTATCTCAGATGAAACACATTCTTTATTAGAAAATCACTACATCAGAACACAGAACACTTTTGAAGCTTATTCTGAAACACAGCATTTCCTGATTCTGGTCAAATATAGTTCAGAATGAGTTCTGCTGATTACAAGATGTGATTTATCTAAAAATCCCTTCTTACTTCTAGAGATCTCACCAAGCTGATGTTCACTTGTTCTGTTGGCAGATCTTTGGACTGATTTCAAGTGGAAACAGCTTGATTTCATTGTTGTTGAACTTGTTGTTGAACAGCATTTTTTCCAGAGTACAACGACCTCCGTAAAGTTAGTTTGGAAACAAAGGCCACGTCCACACGGAGACGAAACGGCTTGTATCCGCTACAGTTCTTTATCGTACAGACGGTTCGTTCACACAAGGCCGACACGGAAGCGCGGATAACGATAACGGCTCCCAAGGTGGGAAGGTCTGCGGACGGAACGCTCTGGGGGGCCGAACGGCTCCGTGTGGACTTCCTATACGATCATATCCTGATAGCGATGACGCCATAGCCCCGCCTCTCCCCACCTCTCCTGCTCACCCCCGCGTCATTGCTGATGTGTTTCGCCAACAACAACAACAATGGCGGATCACAGGGTTGCGTTCGTGCTCCAGACGCGACTGAGCATGATACAGATGTTAGTGCAACATCTACAGCTCCTCGACCACAACCATCAGCAACAAGTGGACATGGAGAACTACATGAACTACATGTTGCTAAATCCACCGCGGGGAATAACCAGAAGGGCAACCATGGCAACCATGCTCGGGGGTCTTCTTCGCTGCATTTGGTGTATTTTGTGGCGGAAGTACAGTGCCACTTACAGGCCCGGCATATGTACTACAGCGCCTCCAGCGGGTCGAGCGGCCTCGTGCGGACGGACACATTTCTTGAGCTGATTCCGTGTGGATGGAAGACTCTTTTGATATCGACTAAGGCTCGTTTTCGTCTCCGTTTCGTCTCCGTTTCGTCTCCGTTTCGTCTCCGTTTCGTCTCTGTGTAAACGTGGCCAAAGAGAGGTGCGTCATAACCTACAACCCCGATAGAGGAAAGTGGAGATTAAAGGTAGAAACGGATTCAAACGCCACGACATACCTGGTAATAAACCTGGTTCTGGTTCTGAAGCGACGCCTTCTTCTTCTTCGCGGCTCGTCCTCTCGCTCCTCTGATGTTCTTGCTGTTGTCCATGGATACGGCTCGTCGTCGAGGAGCTTTCCCTTTGCCCTCCTCTGGGTTCAGGATCCACCACGAACTCTTCCCCGTTCCCTCGTTCTGGAGCTTCAGGAAGCGGCTGTGCAGAGACAGGTTGTGCCGGATCGAGTTCTGCAACAACAAAAACAACATGAGAGAAGATACTAAGGAACGTTCTTTACTTCTCTATGAATCATTTGATTGAATCCACAGATCTCTAAATCAGAGATCCTCCTCAAAGGAAGAAGTCACTCAGAACACTAACTAACTAAACTATGCTTACATTTGACTACTGGCTGCTTATTCATTTTGCACTAATACAACTATTACTACTGTCATTCTGCAGTTACTTCAATACTTTCTACTTGTTTTACTTCATAATGCTGCAAATTATTGTATTTAAATGCTGAATATGTGCTCGTACTTAACTCAAGGTCAGCTATCACGCTATTCTTAGGCAATAGCAGAGGTCTCAGATACAAATATATAAAAACACGTCTATGAAGTGTTTTGCTCCAAACACCAAACAGATTCTAGCCACGCCTCATATTCCTCTATTTCACTTCCTGCTTCTAAAGAGCTGATTTGGGTATAAAGCTTAAAAGAGGAGGGGTCTGAGCTCATGAGGGACCCGGCAGCTACTGTCTAAACTCCATTGACCATAACCATCTCTGCGAACTGCTATCATCTAATCTCCCCCTGGACGCAACCCTCAGCTCACCTGATGATCTACTCAACCACCTCAACTCCACCCTACTCACCTCCCTCAACACTTTAGCCCCCCTCAAAAATAAAACTGTTACTTTCAAGACCTCCTCACCCTGGTTCACACCCGCACTGTGTAAAATGAAGCAGCGAGGCCGCCAACTTGAACGTCTTTCAAATAAATCATCCCTCACAGTCCATTACATAAGCTACAAACTCCATCTCAATGCATACAAAGATGCTCTTATTGCCGCTAAATCTGCCTACCTCTCCAACATCTTCATTGACCCCTCCCGTAACCCCAGGACCCTCTTCTCCACAGTTAACAAGCTCTTCAAACCCCGTGCTGATAACCTCCCTACTTCTACTTCCGCTACTTGCAGCTCATTCCTCCAGTTTTTCGCAGACAAAATTAACGCCATTAACCACTCCTTCTCAGCTCCATCTGATATACAAGCATCTCCCCCAACCTCCACCACTACCATTTCTCCCCCATCTCCCTTGACCTCCTGACTCCTCCCCAGCACCGCCTCTCCCAGTTCAACCTGGTGACCCCACTTGAAATACTCCATCTGATCGGTTCCTCAAATCCCACAACCTGCTCCCTTGACCCTCTACCCACTCCTCTCCTGAAGTCCTGCCTCCCTGTCCTCTGCCCCTATCTTGCTAACCTTTTCAACTCCTCGCTGTCCCATGGAACCGTCCCCTCTGCCTTCAAAACTGCTGCCGTTACTCCAATCCTCAAAAAACCTGGTCTTGATCCCTCCTCCCTCACTAATTACCGCCCCATCTCTAACCTACCATTCCTCTCAAAAACTCTTGAACGCATTGTAACCAAACAAATTCACTGCCATCTCCAAACCAACCAGCTTTATGAACCCCTTCAGTCTGGATTTCGTCCTCACCACAGTACAGAAACTGCACTCGTCAAAGTCCTCAATGACCTCCTCACCTCTGCTGACACTGGTTCCCTCAATATTCTCATCCTCCTCGACCTGAGTGCAGCCTTCGATACCGTGAGCCACAACATCCTGCTCACCCGACTCAGGGACATTGGTAGTGAAGGTATTGCACTCAGATGGCTCCAGTCCTACCTCACTGAACGATCCCACTTCATCTCCCTCCCAAACCACTCCTCTGCCACAGCTTCAGTCACCCAAGGCGTTCCTCAAGGATCAGTACTTGGCCCCCTCCTCTTCATCATTTACATCCTCCCCCTCGGTCAGATACTCCGCCACTTCAACCTCGACTTCCACTGCTATGCTGATGACACTCAGATCTACCTCAGCACCAAATCCCTCCATGACCCACCCCTTACCCACATTGATTCCTGTCTGACAGCTATTCAAACTTGGATGCAACATAACCTCCTCAAATTGAACAGCAACAAAACAGAACACCTCCTAATCGGCTCCAAATCCACCCTCAGCAAGGTCACTAACATAACTCTCACCATCGATGGCACCATTGTTTCCCCCTCCAATCAGGCACGCAACCTTGGCGTAATCTTTGACCCCACCCTCTCCCTCGAACCTCACATCCGCCAAACAGTCAAAACCTCATTTTTCCACCTCCGCAATATTGCAAAAATCCTACCCTCTCTCACCCGCCCCGCAGCCGAGCGACTAATCCATGCCTTCATTTCCTCCCGCCTCGACTACTGCAACTCACTTCTTTACGGCATCAGCACTACATCCCTCAACAGACTCCAACGGGTTCAACATGCAGCTGCACGTCTCCTCACGCATACCAAATCATGGCATCACATCACCCCAGTCCTCAAAGACCTCCACTGGCTTCCTGTTTCCCATCGCATCAACTACAAAATTCTGGTCCTCACCTACAAAGCCCTCCACCATCTGGCCCCCCCCTTATCTCACAAACCTTCTCACTCCTTATCAACCTCCACGGTCCCTCAGATCCACCGCAGCCGGACTCCTATCCACTCCCACATCCACACTCAGCTTTGGGGACAGAGCCTTCTCAGTGGCAGCTCCTAGGCTCTGGAATCCCCTCCCCCAAGATCTCCCTGACTCTGAGTCCCTCACAGTCTTTCAGTCCCGCCTCAAAACACATATTTTCAACTCTGTCTACCCATAAGCCCCCCCCCCCCCTCTCAATCAACTTCCTCTTGACTGCCTTTTTATTTTGTACTTACTTGTTTGCCTGTCCTTGTTTGTCTACCCTCATACTGTAAAGCGTCTTTGAGTTGTGAAAAGCGCTATATAAATAAAATGCATTATTATTATTATTATTATTAAACTAAATGCTGCCGTGATGAAACTCCATATCATGGATTATCAAGGATTCTCTCTGAAACAGTTTGGAGCTCAAAGGCTTTCTCTCTTGCCGGTTATACCACAAGGTGAGTTCCTTTCTACTTCCTGCTTCTTCACACACATGCTCTCCAGTACAGGTTAGCTCTGAGTGTTAGCGATGCTAATGTAAACACCGACCATATTACGTCCAGAACAGTCGGGCATTGTTTCTGATAGCAACGTTTCTGATTGGGCCGTGGGTCCACATTTCAGATATTACGTCATATCGGACGCAAATCTGGATCAGCTCCGTTGTTCCCCGTTTTTAGAGATTTGGGTACGGAGGAAAAGAGAGAGGGTTTTATTTTCTGACGCTGCGTGAGTTCCCCGACACACCTGGGACACAGCGGGGACACACCGGGGACACAGCGGGGACACAGCGGGGACACAGTGGGGACGCACTGGGGACACAGCGGGGACACAGCGGGGACACAGCGGGGACACACCGGGGACACACCGGCACACAGCGGGGACACACCGGGGACACACCGGCACACAGCGGGGACACAGTGGGGACGCACTGGGGACACAGCGGGGACACACCGGCACACAGCGGGGACACACCGGGGACACACCGGGGACACACCGGGGACACAGCGGGGACACAGCGTGGACACACCGGGACACACGGGGTCTCTTTGTTGTGAATATGTTAATGTCCATTCAGTGGGACTAATAAAGGAAGTCTGATTCTGATCCGACTACAAAAAGTCTTATTTCACAAAAACAAAAAGCACCAACGAGTCGATGACATTATTACATGCACTTCCTGCAGGAGAACACTGATGAACATCAATAGATAAACAAACTGATAAGACATTTGGAAATAAAAAACGACTGAGGACGAATCAAAATTATGTTCTCCTCCAAAAACAATGACTTTGTTCCAATCGACAGTTACGAAGCCTTTGTTCCCAGATATCAACGAGCAACTTGGGGAGTGAGACAACCGATTGGATACATGAACTACAAGAGTGAGACCTGAACGAAGCAGCTGTCTGTCTGTGGGGTGATATGTGGGCGTCTCAAGAAATAGGATGATAGCGTTGCCACCAGATACTTTTGAGACACAAAATCAAGTATATGGATATTTTCTCGCCTCCTCAGGCTCTTTCAAATCCTTCAAAGGGTTCAAAGGGTCAGATAAAGGAAATCTCTCCGGCTGATAACCTCAGAAAACAGTGACCCTTGACCTTTGTCCACCAAATCTAAATCAGTGCAACCTTCAGTCCTTGTTGTTTTTTAGCTGTTAAGGTTGTTTGTATAGTTATTAGGGCTGTCAGTCGATTAAAATAGTTAATCGCAAATTAATCGCACATTTTTGATCTGTTCTAAATGTACCTTAGAGGAATATTCTTCAAGTTTTTAACACTCTTATCAACATATGAGAGGACAAATATGCTTTATGCTAATGTTTATTATCATTTGAACAATCACAAATATTCTCATGAATATTAAACACAACAACCTGGAACCTCTCATTCAATAATACAATACAAATGTGTGTATGTGTGTGTGTGTGTGTGTGTGGTGTGTGTGTGTGTGTGTGTGTGTGGTGTGTGTGTGTGTGTGTGTGTGTGTGTGTGGTGTGTGTGTGTGTGGTGTGTGTGTGTGTGTTGTGTGTGTGTGTGTGTGTGTGTGTGTGTGTGTGGTGTGGCAAACTCAAGGCATATGCTCGAACCGGAGCTGCCTGGACGCTGCAATCATGTGCGCACTATCCGTGCTGAGTGTGCTGACTTCTCGTACAATGTCCCACTGTCTGGCTTCCTGCATAAAGTCAAGTGCTCGGCGCAGTTGTGGCGAAATGTCGCTCCTCTGTTTCATTTAAACAGCTCCATATCCGTTAGCGCAGCTAGCTAGCACCAGATGCTAACAACAACAATGCACGTAAGGTCGCTCGCTCGCTCGCTCGGGCCACACAGACACACACCCTCCCGGTCCTCCCGATGGCCAGTCGGTGCCTGCCGGTGAGCGTGGAAGTGTGGTCTGCCACAAGCGGGCGGCAGGAGCGGGGCTGTCAGCATCAGCTTGTAGATGGTATTTTAAACTCGATGCGCTCTGAAACTACGGGGCGGCCGAGGACAAAAAATACACATGCGTTAATCGCGT